TTAAATGAGCGAGTCTGAAATCCAACTGTGTTTTTTATTTGTTCATCTCAACACATTGTTTCCTCATAATGTTATTTTATATTTGGTGAAATGATAACACATCAATCGCACACATCAATCGCATATATTAGTTGGTTGTAATACAAAATCACAAACATCATCAAAAGAAAAAAATGTCCAAAATCACTCTTTTGCGATTATTTCAGAAAAGGACTTCTCGGATAATATTCACTAAATCTATTGAAACATTTAAAAATCGCAGGACAACAATATCCGGTTTCAGTAAATGAAACGAAAAAATTTCCTCATTACAAAGATGTAATGTAAACAGATTTCCAGATGATTTTTCTTACATACCAATTGGAATTAAATAAATAAAAAATCTTCTTCTTCTTCGTCGTCTAAAATTTAAAGTATATTTATGTTGGAAACGGATATCAGTGAAATTAATTTGCCAAAGCAACAGAAAAAACAATCAAAGTTTAATTTAATACACGCATCTGTATTAGTATTGATTATGAACGCTTCCTATCTTCCTTAAATAAGTAGACAACATATTAAGCATTTTAAAGCTTTCATATATGTGATGGCAATAATTAAATACAATTTCTCTTTACAGCCAAAAAATGCAAATTGACGGTTGTACTTACACTTCATTATATACTGAAAAGAATTGCGAAATGCGTATGTTGTTGGTACTCTCCTGGTCGCTAAAAAGAAAGAAGAAGATATCGACTTCAAGTTTCGTAGAAACATTGGAAGCTTCTGCACGCAGGTTAGTATTGAAAATCGGTCTAATTGGTCGTAGCAGAAGACCACAGCAGAACGCAGCTCAGTTTTTTAACAAAAATTTTTGGATTTTGGCTCGTTACTCGGAAATTATCGAAGTTAAAAGGCTAAAATTTTCCGCGTTTGCTTTACGGAACAATCTATTTTGTGGCCATGCCCACACAATGTTACGAGGAATTAAATTTTATTTTTTTCACTTTCTTGAGGTTTTATGCTTAAGGCAAACAAGGTGATAGGACCAATGGTAAAGACGAACGAAGCAGGAAGAACTTGCTAAAGGGGAGTGCATATACATGAAAATAAATAAAAAGACGATGTAAACAAAATGGGAAAGTAGATAACAGAACTGCAACTTTGTAACTCAGATCTGTTAAATGACAAAGCAATCTAACTCAGATCTGTTAAATGACAAAGCTATGTAACTCAGGTATGTTAAATGATAAAGCTCTGTAACTCAAATCTGTTAAATGACAAAGCGATGTAGCTCAGATACGTTAAATGAGAAAGCTATGTAAGTCAGATCTGTTAAATGACAAAGCGATGTAACTCAGGTATGTTAAATGATAAAGCTCTGTAACTCAAATCTGTTAAATGACAAAGCAATCTAACTCAGATCGGTTAAATGACAAATCAAACAAAAACTCTGTTAAAATGAGAAAGCTATGCAAACAAACAAATCAATTGGACAACAAACAGTAGCAATAGTAAAATAAAGCATATATATATAAATAAAAAATATTGTTGCTTTTCGTTCTTTTTCTAACTTTATTGAAAATAAAATGATTGATTGAATTTGAATGATTGTGAACTGACGTCGGGCCATACTCTGCGAAGCCGGTAAAGAACATAACGGAAGGGTGCTTTGAGATAATACAAACTCGGTCAGATTTTCACTTTGTTTTGGTATCACTGCTTGATTTTTCGTATTTACTTGCGTTCCTTCCGATTGATATGGCCGCTCTCCATATTCTTCGTCAAACATATATATAGAGCAACCAGTTTTCAAGCCATTCTTCGAAATATTCAGGTGCGCGGCTCAGGCTTTTTTCATTAAACGAGAAAAAGGAGGCAGAGTTTGATTGATTTTGGCCCCGTTTTGATTTTTAAAGCTTAACAACCGCGTTCAAACCGCTCCTTGAGCCTTTGAAATTTATTTCAAATCTTCAAAACGGATTCAGGTGCGTTAATAACCTGTGTTACACTACCTATCGTTTGAGTGTGAAATGCTCACTTTCGTCCAACCCGGATCAATTTTGCAAATTCCTAAACTCAAAAAGGCGATATCATATAAAGATGCGGACTCCTTTGAGGGCCAAGAAATGACGCAACTTTTCGCAGAACTCTTCCATTGCAATTATTACGCTTATGACAACGACTCTATGACAGTCTATCCGTACGAGAAAATTTGAGAAAATAATAATGAGAAAATTTATTTATTTGTTTAGTTACCCATGAAACTCAGTTAAAATAAATAAACAGCCAAACTCAATTGATTGATTCTTGGATGTAATTCTTACTCTAATTAATATTAAAAAATAATTCCAAGTGTCTAAGAAGAACTAAAAGAAAAAAAATAAAAAAAATAATAAGTCATGTATAAATAAACAAGAAAGAAAAAAAAAGGAAAAAGCATATACACAACTAGCGCAGTGGCATCAAGGGGTACAGAGAGAGAGGGAGCCATTGATGTTGGTCTAAGTTTCTGCAATCAACCTATGCCATCGTACATCTACCAAGCATTTCAAATGCCATATCTATTGCAAATGGTACCATCTGTTAGATCCACACCGGTATATGTCACATCTCAACCATCGATACCATCACAAGCAGTACCAGAACAAGTGACAGCATCAGAATTGCAACAGGTAACATTTTATAAAAATTTCTTATTTAACTAATAGTGGAACTAAGCATCATGCAAAGTTTATTATACCGAACTAAAAATATTATGGACATTTCCCTAAACTCTTCCGTAAAAAGTTTTTACTTCATTATTTATATACTGTTTGTATACTGCGCTTGTCATAATGTGCTCACAATGGGTCATTTAAAAAATAACGAACATTTCGTCTTTCAAATTAGGTGAGCACTCAGTAATGACTTATCGCTGTACAGAGTCGCAAATTAAACTTAACTCTTGATCCTTCAGCTCTTTGTGCCACCAGCGCGGACATAGCTTTACTTAGAGAGAGCTGCATACGCAAATTAAAACATAAACACTTTGGTCGAATGGTACTCCCAAGTCGGTGAACGAACCAACGTTTTCCAACTTGTCTGAGTCAATGACATATTCAGTACTGAATGACTTCCTGCTTAAGAAAGGAAGCTTCTTGCATTTTTTTTTTAGTTTTAATTTTTTTAAATTTAACGATCGCCATCTAACCAAATTATTTATGTCATTCCAAAGGGAAACAGAAAGAAAGCAGTTTAACATCGTCAGCGTACGTTAAGATCTGGCTGGTTTTAATCACCGAGGGAAGATCATTAATGTATAAATTATATAAAAACGGTCCTAACTGCCTTGAGGGCCGTCAGACGTCACGGGAAATTCGTCCGTGGTGATGAAATAAAACAGAACCCTAAATGATCTGAGATCCATTTCACTAAGTAGAAGGGGAACCCAAAGGCCTGAAGTTTGAGCATCAATAACTTATCGTAAACTAAGGCAAACCCTTTACTAAAATCAGTGTATACGAAATCGGTGCTAGAGCCACTAGAAAAGGCCTTGACGACATAACAAGTAAACTCTAAGAAATTCACAATAGTTCATCGTCCTTTCAGAAAGCTGGAATGGAGAAATATAAGACTTGATAGCAAAAGCTAAATGCTGCGTAACAGTCCTCTCAAACAATTGAGGTAAGACACTCAACTCTATAGTTTTCAACGTGATGTCTGTTTCCACATTTACGAAGCAGCATAAGAAAACTGCTCTTCAAAAACAAAGCAAAAACATCTGATTTCAAAAACTGTTTAGAAATCTTCGAAACAAAACTCCTCAGAACACGTTTTGAGTATACATGAAGGCATCCCACATCAGGTCGAGGCGCACAACTATATTTTAGAGACCTCAAACCATGTAAAACGTCGTGTTCTGAAATAACCAAGCTAGGAATTGAAAACGAGTTAGTTATAAGATACGAGTAGGTAACAGTTAAATCGGAATCAGAAGTTGAAAAATATCATCAGAAGTATTCAACATGAATTAGATGTGATTTTTATTCCGAAAATTGTTGTTTTCGATGATGAAGATCGCCATGGTATAAAATCATCGAAGATGAGTTGTCTTCCAGGCCCATCTTGAGGCAATGGTGAGGATCTTTAACCTCCCTCTAGAAACGGGAGTGCTTTCATCATGCTGGGAAAGTAGTTTCCTCATTCCAACTCATAACGGTGAAAATAGAAACAGGGTGGACTACTACAGAGGCTTTGTGTGGCACTCAGCGTGCTATCACAGCTGTTTGAGCAAACCGTTACTCCACACATAACACGTGCCATAAAATCGTACATATCTGTCACAAATCTCATGGAGTGAACTAATCACTAAGACATTCTCTACAGACTGCCAAATGAACTTTACATACATGGCTTTCAGTAAGGCTCTTAATCGAAAAAGCCATAGTTTACGGATTTTTAAGAGGCAATCAATAGGCTTTTCATTATACCTAATCAAATGGACCATCTCATCCTTAGATCAGTGGATGAATGGGCCAGTCGTCACGTAGATGAAAGTTTCTTTAGAAAATGATTTGTTGTTGCGTTGTTATTTTATTCATAGCTTGTCGCTTCTCCTCCTCCTCTCCTCTCTTGCCAAGTCCCAAGAAATTTATACAATATAATGGATTATTTTTAATTTTTTATTTTATATTTTATTTTTTTTTAATATTAAAAATGTTCACTACAAAGTTGACTTTAAAATGTCTAAAATTTTAGTTTATTTCATGTAATAATTTCAAAATATATTTTAAAATTTTAATAAAACAGGAATATTCAATACTTTATATTTGTTTATTTATTATCAATATTTAAAATCAATTCTAAGAAAATACATTTTTTAACGTAACAATTGGAAAAACGGTTTTTAAATTTTTTTTTTTTTTGTTTTTAAAAAGCCATTTGAGTTATTATTAATAAGAGAAATTTAAATAAATAAAATTTAACAAAAAAAAAACAAGAAAAAAAAAACAAACTTTTTTTTTTATTAACTGTACTGTACGCATGTATAGCAACAAAAACCATTTTTTTTCTTATAAAAACTTAAAATAAGGCATAAAATCATAAACAAGGGGCAATCAAGAGGAGTGTATACGTATATTCTTTAGTAAAATGCATTTCGTTTATTTGCCACTTGCTTCATAGTTCCGCTTTTTACCGATGGTTTGTATTTTCTTCGTTTTGAGTCAATGTGATAAAATTTTAAAAATATATGTTTTCTATGTAAATCATTGTTAGTATTAATTGTATTAATTGTATTTCAGTTTCCTTGTTCCGTTGTCTTGTTTTCCTTCTGTTAAAGTTTAATAAAAGTGTATATCAGTATGCATGTATATATGTATGTATATGTATATTTCGTTATGGAATAATGTTCGATTGCTTCATATCATGTTTCGTTTATTAATGTTTGATTAAATTGAATAAAAAAAAAAATATATATATATTCATTTTTTTTCTTTAGTTATTTGCCTACTTATCTGCCACGAGTTTGCCTATTATTTTATTTTATTTTTTTTCTTTTTAATTTCAATTTTTGAATTTTCATGCTCTAAATATTGTGACTGCGATCAGCTATATAGCGTTTTCTTGAAATTAGAAAATTTACTCCTGTCCATTCGTCTGTTGCGTTGTAGACGTAGAAATGGGCTTTGCAGTAAAACTTTCCGCATCTACATTGGAGACAAAGCATTTTGGCGGTTGTAATAAATCCGTATATTGCAGTAGAGCTTCTTGTAGGGAACGTGACACTTCAGGCGATGTGGTTGTAGTGCAATCCACCAAATATGGATAGAGACCGATCAATTGATCCCAGGCTGGCTTATTAACTATAAACATGAAAGTCAATAATCATATCTGAACTTTTTACACCCTACACCACTTGTGAAAGAAAACTATTTGTTGAATTTGTGCGGACGTATACAACACCCAGGAGGACTTGAGATAAACCAGCTTTTTATTATATGGATCTAAGCTTGTCTGTCCGTCTGACTGTCCTGCTTTCTTGTGTTCAACCCGCGTGTCGCAATTTTTGAGATGTTTTGATGCATTTTGATACAATGACTTGTTTCGAACGTTGCTTAAAATGGTCCGGATCGAACCGCTTTTTCGACCACTCCCCATAGACAGCCTTATTTTGAGAAATCGTTACATAAACAACCGTTTTAAACGAAGTGGCATAAGGTATTTAATGATGGGCCGCATCCCACTTGTTTTGCACTTGTTACGTCGTGTGAAAAAATTTACCTTTGGATGCGGGTGCTTTTTTCATAGATATTACCAAAGTAGCGATAGCTTTTAAGACAAATGAAATTTCTGATAATCTAAATCTAAAAACACAGCAAAAATAATTCAATAAACATAAATTTTTTGAAATATGTCACCTTATAAAATTAATTTTACCTTGGCAAAGGACATTTCCCACTTTGGCGTTCATCGTCGTTGAAACGTTTTAAAACCTCTTGAAAGCGATGTAATAGAGCGGTAACAGCTAAGCGACCTGCAAAATCTTTTCCTCCCGCACCACCGTTTATCCCAGTTGATACAGCGGCTGCTATGTTAGCGTTTAATATATTAGCCGTCGCTGAAGTTGCACTGCCACTGGCATTTGTTAAGCGATTATTATTGCCATTGCAATTATCATCCAAAAGTGAGAATTGCAAAAGGGTCTCGAAACAAGTTTTGGCAAATATTTCACGTAATTTCCAATCGGATTCGTAACAGATATTCGAATCAGAAGCGGAATGTATGGAACCTTTATTAAGTAAAACTACAATTTGCATAATAAATTGATGAGGCATTTCATGGGCATAAGGCAACACCTCATCTCGCAATAATTCAATAACCTGACAATCGATCGTTTCATCTAAAACAATTTCCTCTAAGCCACGATCTTCTATCGTACAAACGCTGTTGAAGAAAACCGTTAATAAGTTCTCTTACAAAAGTTTTTAATTTTTTATCTTTAATACCTAACGGGAAATAAAAATTTATCCAAAGTATCGGCCAAATCGTCCCACATACTATTGAAGTATTGTGGTTTCGCTCGAGCTACTTTAAGTCCAGTATATAAAACTGTAATTAAACTAGATATCGACAATTTCCAAGTACTCGAAGCCAAACATTTATATTTCATTGCCAAAGGCGTACGAAGAGCCTTATGTTAAAACAAAGAAATGTTTAAGCATTAGATACGAAATTCTACAGGGGTTTGAGAAATACCTTAATTATCTCATGTAATATATGTTCCTGCATTACTGGCTCCTCGGTGGCCGTACACTGATACAATTTTACGCAAATTGTTATGGCTTTCTCCCCAAAAGGTATATAATTCATGCTAACTACTTCCACTGTGGCATTGTTACCGTAATGATTCGTTGTCTTGCCGTATTTGTGTTGCTCACTAACTTGCAGCGAAGGCGGTGTACAAGCAAACTTACTAAATATTAAAAGTTGACGGAAAATAGCCGGTATTAACTGACTTAGATTGCATCCATCTTTGGTAGCCTCCTATCACGCAAAGCCAATAAGCACCGGAATTTAGAAATATTTATTAACGACTTACTTTTTGAATCAATTCCATGCATTCTAAAATACTGTCATGTAAGGGTGTCAATAGGGAATCGGATACAGATGACATTATATAAGGAACTGCCTCGGTTTGCACTGGTATACATACAGCGTTAGTTAGCACGTTACAGAACTTTTCAAAGTCGGAAGACTTAAATCTAAAAGATAAGAATTAAATAATAGAATTGCTTAACCATTTTCCAAAAGAGGTATAAAGTTTAGAATTTTCCCGTTGGACGTTCAACATCCTCAACAGACAAAAAATTAAGATCTTTTGTATACTTTTCACTTATAGGCGAGAATTATGATAAACATGTAAAGATAATTAGAATGTTAAAGGCCCACTATCGGAGACTTGAAAGCGCACAGCAGTTTGGACAATATATCTTAACATATCTTAAAATATTTTTAGATAGCAAATGAAAAAAAAATTGTTTACTAGCTTTTCATAAACATTACCACCATTTTTTTTACTCAAAAGTTCTTTGAAACGGAACAGTGGGAACATATCATCAGATGTTTGAAAAAGGCTTGGAGTAGCGTAGAAATACATTAGTTTGGAACCTAAAGGAAGACTTATCAGTTTATGTTGTGCTACTTGCTGTAGACGTGTCCTACGATCGATTTGGCCCATTTCAGCCGGACAAACATACCATATTGCAAACATTTAATAAACCGTAGGGTAACAGGGCGCTATGAAGTTTAGGTGAAACCATTCGACATTTCAGTGCTCATGGGTCAACCGAACTGATGTGCTTTCAATGAACAAAACGCTTTTCAAATTCTATACTTTTGCGCTTAGGAAAGGTTTGGTTACTTTTAACCAATTGTACGCTCGCACCTTTTTTGTATATGTTGAAAAATGGCGGGAAATATTTGTATCAATGCTGTAAGAAACGCCTGACTGGGTATATAAAACTCATCTTGTTGTGTGTCCTGAATTTTCGTTGACATTTTAGTACTCTCCATCCCAATATTTAACCAAATCTTCCAGGCGATCTACGTAGATAGGCATAAATATTTGAAAAATACTTTGACATGAAGCAAGCACGAATTTCAAGATAATTACATTCCAAATTTCGTCGTCTTTTGATGTTGCCCGACTAGCAGTGTTCGTTTCTACTTTTGATAAGCAATTGCTCTCCGAATTATGATACATAATTTCTTGTAAAGATTTTAAGGCAGCCAAGGAGACTTCACCATTTTTACTTAAAGCAGCATTTTGTATGAATTCTAAAATTAGAGACCAGGCCCGATCGAAATCACCTAACATTTGTATCAAGTCACGTTTAGTGTTAAAAACCTATAAAATAAAAGAAAAAAGGATTACTAGGAACTTAGCAAAGGATTAGGAAAATTATACTAATTACTTACTCTGCATACACCCGATAAAGTTAAAACTTGAGTTTCGGCCCATTGTTTTTGAGCAGTATTACGCGAGTGATGTATTAGTATATTGCCACTGGCGTCAACTTTTTCGTTGCTTGCCGAACTGGACAGGGCCCTTACATTATCCAATAAAGGAAACAAAACTTGCCAAACTAAGGCTTGCCAAGTAGGCGGGTTTAATAAACTGCCATGAGCCGAAATTGTTGAAAATAAAGTTTGACCTGCCGATTTCCGTACAGCCGGTCGAGAATCAACACATAATTCCCCTACAATTAATATATTTTTGAAATTGATCCTCAAAATAAAATTTTTTCAAAATTACTAACCTAGTTTAGCATACAAACACATCCACAATTTATCAAACTGTGGCATTTTAACGGTACCAGGAAAATCGGGCAATATACTAGCGTCATCGACTGGGGTAGCCATTAATTTATCTTGATTTTGATTAAAGAAATCCGAAATATTCCACTAGACGACAAGTAATTTTCTTTAGGTTTACTAACAAACGTTTTCTTTTTTAGTTAATTTCAAATTTACCATTAAACCTATAGCTGTTAACGATATATTCAATTCTTGTGTTTGTGAACCAAATTTCGCTGCAGTGCTAATACATAAAGGCAGACAACGCCAAGGCATTACGGTTAAAAAGTCTGTAATCACCAGCTGAAGGCATTGAAAAGCTGTACGTATCAAAGGTTCACCGTGATGCTCATTAACGGCTCCGATAATTTCGATAATTGCTGGCCAACCAAATGATAAAATCTCACCGGCTCCGTTCAATATTTGCAAAACACAATCCAGTTGCCTTTGACGAACGTCGGCATGCATAACTGTGGACAGCTCAGATAGTGGATTCAAAAGCATTGTTTGTAAAGTCTATAATTATATAAACACTAACCATGGTAGAAAAGTATATAAACGATATAAACGAATAATGTACCATATTTTCTTTCAAGGGTTGACTATGTTTATATTGTAAAGCTGATTTAACTAAATATGTAATGGCTTCAACACCCCATTCCCTCATTCGTATATGGCGATGTTGACAAACTTCCAGTAAATGGTTAGTTAAAGGACGCCATAGAACTTCTATTCTGGGCATATTTACTAAACCCGTCTCTAAAAGTTTGGCGACGGCAAACAACGATGGCTCCTGGAAATGTAAAAATATTCAGATAATTGATAATAATATCGCAATTTGACTTGTACAAATAATTACTCTGTTAGCGTAAGCCAGTTCCATAGCCTAAATATAAGTAAAAAATAAAAATAAATAAATATATAGCCGAATGTTAAGACCAGTCGCTGTTAAAAGTTCTTACCTCATGCGATAATTTGCATAAAGCATCTATTAAATGATGCAAAGCTACGTCGTCCAGATATTGGCTGGATTCAAAGAGCTGACTTAGCATTGTCGAAAGTACCGGCAAATCTGCCATAACTGCGGTCTGTATACCAACGTTAGCCTCTACCGCTGGTTTAGGAAAAGCCTGTAGACTGCCGCCAGTAGATGGCTTTAAGCCCAATATCCAAACAAGATGCTGTAAGGTTTGCAAAACAATGTGCCATGAGGTACCCAGAATACTGCCATTGCTATGAGCCAACACTAAAATAGCACGCATACACTGCAAATTTTTAGTGGTTAACATGACTGGCGCCTGCATAACACTATGCGGTAGAGACGCACTAGGCAAAGGTGTACCAACGGCCACAATTTGCTGGCGAAAATCACCCACATCTGTGCAAGTACTCATAAATTGATTGTTTAAATCTTGACTGCTGGAGCGAGTATGGCCTAAAAATAAGGAACGTCAATCGCCACATTAATTAATTATTTAGAATATGAATATCTTACATCTCAAATCTACATCTAAATGAGGATTGTTGGCAAAAATTGACATGGCATAATGCGGTGGGAAAGATGCACGACAAATGGCCATTATGAAAGCATCTCGAGGATTCAGCAAATCCAATATCCCACATAAAGCGGCATAATTTTGCATGGCCTTCAGTATATGGTCGGTGGAGATTTCATCGATAGAAGCATCTACCAGAGGCACAAAAGCTGACAACAAGCCTGACCAACTAGAATTAATTAATTGCAAACATAGAGGCTTGTGTTCCTCTTCAGTTATTATGGCTGAATTATGCGTTGGATGCTGTAATAAATTGGCAGACTTGAGAAAGAGACGAAGAGAAATGTATTGAAAATAAAATCGCATACCATTTCAGGTGTCCTTTGTATGACACTACCAATTGAACGTGTTATGTCCAGAAGTATGGCATAAGCCAAAGAAATGCCATAACTTTCCGGTATATCAGGAGCCGCATTTTTCTCCAGCATTTCCAAGCTAAATTCAAAAATAATAAATACAATTTTTTAAATGCTCCTTTTATTTTAAGAACTTTTACTTACTAAGTGGCTTTAACTGAGCCAGGATCAAATGATGCAACCAAAGGCAGAAATACTCCACGAAAAACAAAACCACAATGATTGTTAGCGTTGTGAGCGGATAACGAATTCATTTGTGAAGTACCATTTTGTTGGCCATTCAGTACTGTTGGAATAAGGTTTAATACTATCAGTAAAAAACTTTTCTATTTTCATATACTCACGTGCTGATGCATTAATCAATGAATAACGTACATAAGTCCCCAACGATGTAATCATATCTTGCACAATATTGGTAGCGTGATTTTTACAATCATACGATTTGCAGAAAAATGCCATTAGCATAGGTTTCGTAGCCAATTTATGAATAACTTCTAAAGCTAAGGCACGTTGCCAATGCGGCTTATCGGAGTCCAAAAATTTTATAATCAATGACAGAAATATCTCACACTCGGTTACCAAAATTGTGTGATATTTTTGTATGAGTATGGCAACTAAGCGCAACAAACGCATACTGATCGGAAAATAAGGCTTATCATTGGGCATATTATTTACACTTCCATTGCTATTCTGTGTGGGCAAACTCCGATGTTTCACATTCGGAGAAAATAGCTTAATAACCAAAGCACAAACACGTTCTTTGAGTAACAAACGGAAATCGCGATTTTCGTGGAAAACAGCACTGAAGTTTGTAAGTACAGCTTCAAGCAATTCTAAACCAAAAGTGCGAGTCATTTCAGTCATACCTGACAACCAATACGGCGGATCAGCATTTACTAATTGGACAAGATCCTAAAGAAATAAAATTTAATTGAGAATGCATTTCAAAACGATGGAAACTTTAGGGTACTTGAAAGAGGAAGAATGCATCGGATGCAAATGTTTGCATTTCATTGGGTCCGCCCGTGCTGCCACTGCCCACACTGCTCTCACTGACATCGATAGAATCCATAGCATTTCCGCCTACATCTTTCTGTTGTAAATTTGTTAAAGATTCTTTTTCTAAATAAACACGCTCGAAAACTAAAGAAACCAACTGTCGGATCGTTGCCCCCGCTGTGTTCACTATAGTCGGGTCTTTTGTATAATGTAAACGAAAACAAAGCACCAAAGATTTCGCCAAAGTTTCTCCATGTACCACGGTGTTTGTGGTTAATAAAAGAGTAACAGTTTGTAACACTTTCACTTCCTCAATATTATGTTCCATGAGCATCCATAAAGCATCAGTTATGTAGCGGGCTCCCTTCTGGTCGACCACTTGCTGGGTAATTAAACGTTGCATCATACCCAAACAGAACTAGTAAAGAAGAGATAAGAGGATTAAGTGATCAATTAGTTCTTGCGATAAGATAATGTTGACCTTTTATTTTAAATGACTCACTCTAATAATTTTTAAATCTTTCGTTTCACAACCTTGGACCAAAGGATACAAAATTTGATTCACCGTATAATAAACAGATTGCTGTGGATTATTGCCGGCTGCTGTCAGCTTGGATATGGCCTCTTCGCAGGACTGTTACGAAAGCAAAAATATAAATGAAAAAATCGATTGTATTCAGTTTCACATAAACTAAAAGTTTTAGTAATTGTGTGCAAAACTATAATTCATAACAATACTGCAGGTTATTAGGTGTCATCTCTTGTCCCACATTTAGGGTGTTTTTTTCGTTTTCACATACATGCGCTTCTAGATACATACATACTTATGCACATGTACACATAATACAATTAATTTTCAATCACCTCATTATCTGTGATTACAATATTACCTCTTTAATTTGTGGATATTTCTTTTTGGTCTCTAAAGCAAGTATTTTAAAATCGGCTTGCAAAGCTTCCACAAATTTTTGCACAGATTCCCCATTACCACCAACACCAGAAGTTGCCGTGCGTACAAACGACATTTTTTTAAAATAAACTTTTCTCCAAATTTGCCACTATTGTTATCTTATTTAGTTTTTTTTTTTTCTACTTAGTGCTGAAATTGTATAATTTTCTTCAATCTTCCGATCAATGCATCGTATTCATTTTTCCAAGATATATTGTTTCTAAAATAATGTAATTTATCGACTTTTGCTTATGGTCTGAGCTGTAAAAAAAATTTTATTTTTTTCCAATTTGACAAATATTTACTGTATTTACGTATAAAGAAAAAACATCTTATTCTTTTTATGCAAGATAATTTGACAGCTGACGTTAAAAATAGCTCAAAAGAATTAAAGAAATGTGGCAATAAGCAAAAGTAAAAAACTTGGCTGTTTTAATATCGTAAATCATTAAAGTCGAATAATAGTGCGTCTATATTAGCTACATTATAGTCGAAGTCCGTATATATCTGAAACGGTATACTTTTATTTATTTACATATGAAATTCAGCTAAAATAAGTTAGCAGCCGAATTCAATTGTTTAATAATAACTAATACAATGCATATAAAGAAAAAACATATGATGAAAAAATAACAAAAGAAACTTCATATACAAATAAACAAGAGCTAAAAAGCATGCAGCATAGAGGCACATCCGTAGCCGATACACATCCGAGTTGTGAGCGAACCCCTTCGCAAATCTTACAAAAGTTTAGGATTTAAAAGAATTCAAAGAGTCCGATAGTAAGATAAAGTAGCGGATGTTATTTAGTTTTGCAAAAATCTAAATAACTTTGAACGGATTGAAAAGCTCATTATTAAATCTATATTGACTTAGCTTTGTGAAGATGAAATTCCTAGAGAAACGATTCGGCATATTAAAGTTTTATCTCACCAAGTGATGTCGCCGAATCGACGGTACCGTTTGTTAACTTAATTAGGAAGGAAATACCAAGAATAAATTTACATTTCTCAAGTAAAGGTGGAGCTAATAAAAGCAATCTATTTTCATAAAGAGTCAAAAAGACAAGCGGGGACCAATTCAAGATCTTATGGCAAAGAGCAAGCATTGCTCATTACATCTAATTGACGCTTATAAGAAAAGGACTCCACAACAGAGGTATCCTCAAGTATTGGTCTGACTGTTGTATATCCTTCTTGTAATGTAAGGATTGTTAAATTCTTTCGACCACTTCTTAATAAAACCTAGCACCAACTTAGCGTTACTTAAAGAAAGCTCAATGTGCAGATTGAAACGTAATCCTTGGTCGAACAGAATCCGTAAAACCATGAACGTATCTACGTTTTCGTCTTTCTGTGCAACGATTAAATACTTAGTAGTTTTATAGTAGTTACAATAAACTCCTCTTTAAGAAAGAATGCTTCTTGCATTTTTTTAGTTTAAACGCCCCCTGTGCGCCCCCAAAGATACAGAAGAAACCAGTTTAACATCGTCAGCGTATATTAAGATGTGTCTGGATTTAATGGCTGAAGGTAGATCACTGATGTACAGAATGAATAAAATGGGCACTAAATGGCTGCCTTAAAGGACATTTGAGAGGTAATCATACAATTAGGCAATAACGACTAACAAAAACTAATTATAAAAACAAATTTACTGATGATTGTCTCGAAATGCGCTCTCAGAGCTGTGTTGTATCTGCCGACAATAAAATTGCTGTCACCGGAAACATATTTGCATTAGTATCGAATAGAAACCAGAAGA